TGCCTCCCCACCCCATTGCACAGCCACCACAGGGACATTTTGGGAGAAGCCAGGGCCACCCCCTGCTCAGATCCCTGTGGAGATAAAGCTGAGGGTGATACATTCCCACAATGGGCTCTCCAGGGTTAACTGGGAAGAAGCCCAGGGGGCGATTAGTGCCCTAGGCCCTGCCTAAGCTGCCCCAAGCCAATTAGGGGCCAACGAGCCCCTGGAGAGTTTGGAAAGCTGCTTAGGGCATTACAACCCCTCCATTCCCTGTGAATCCCTTTAATCGAGTCCAGAAGCAATTAGCAAATCAATGGCACCCCCAAGCAGGGCTGGGTTGTGGGTGTGAGGATGCACAGCTGGTGCCCACTCCCAGATCCAGTCAGTGTCTGACCCCTGTGCTGCCCTCCCGAGTGCCCAGCCAGCCCTGCTCCCATGCCAACCCTGCTCCCATATCAGCTCCTCGCTGGAAGAGTCCCAAGTGCAGAAACAGGGACAATTTTGCAAGATGTGCTTGGCCGGACCCAGCACAGCCACTTGCTCGACACGTGAGCCTGTCCAGAAGGAACACCCAAAACAGCTGAGGGGCTGTCCCCCCTGGGGGGCTGTTTGCAGAGAAAATGGGCTCTGTGCACTCAGACACTGCACCTGTGCACTCATGTACTCATACATCTGTGTGCCTGTGAATCCATGTACCTGTGCATCCACGTGTTGCATCCCTGCACACCTACAGATATGTACTCATGGATTTGCATACCCCTGCACCTATTCACCCCTGCACCCTCATACCCATGGTCCCAGTGTACCCACACACCTGTGCACTCACATACTCTTGCACCCCTGTACCCATTCACCTATGTACCTGTGCACCTCTGCACCCAGGTACCCCCTGCACCCAGGTATTCCTGCACCTCTGCATCCATGTATCCATGCACCCATGTACACATGGGCCCTGTGTACCTACACATCTGTGCATCCATGTACTCATCCACCCCTGTACCCATCCACCCAGGTACTCCTTCATCTCTCCACCCATGTACCTGTGCATCCATGTACCTGTGCACCTTTGTGCCCATGTACCCCATCTCACATGTACCCACACATCTCTGCACCCATGTACCCCTGCACACATGTACCCATGGTCCCTGTGCACCCACACACCTGTGCACTCATGTGCCCATGTCCCCCTGCACACATGTACCCACACATCTCTGCACCCATGTACCCCTGCACACATGTACCCATGGGTCCTGTGCACCCACACCCCCTGCACCTGTCCCCTCCTGCCCACAGTCACTGTGTGCACCACAGTAGTTACCACCCTGCCCCACCTTGTCCCCCCCAGCATGACTCATTGGTGGCAGGGCTAGAATTACTCCCCTCCTGGTACAGCTGCCCATAGTGACAGCTCTCCCCGTGGCTGAGCACTGCCCCTTGGCCTGACACCTTGTTTATGGCCATGCCAGCTGGGTGCCAGGGCTGTTTTCAGTAAGGGGCTGTGCTGCCCCCCCAGACGTTTCTAGGTCAGGTTTTGCAACCCAGTGGAGGAGCCAGCTGGGTCATGGCAGTGACACCAGCACAGGGAGCAGCCTGAACAGTCCTCCCTGTGCCTGGGCAAGCAGAGGAGCCCCCCAATCCCTGCCTGGAGAAAGGCAACCCTGCTGCATGTGCCAGGCATGAGGGCTGTGTCTGCCCAGTGCTGCCTCTCCCCTCCAAGCTCTCAGGGACCTTCTGGTGAGGCATGTGTTTGCACCCCAGAAGTGGTCACATTTGGGGGGGCAAAGGGAGCAGCTCTATTTAAGCCACTCCTTGCTGCCTCTGGCCCAGCTTCGCCCCATTCTTGTCACTGTCACAGCATCTTAATGACCACTGGGCTGTTTTTTGCTCCACCTTGGGGTCCAAACTTAGGGGTCTAAAACAAGGACCCATGCTCAACACATGAGCCTGTCCAGAAGGAACACAAACAGCTGAAGGGCTGCTCTCCCTGGGGGGCTGTTTGCAGAGACAATGGGCTCTGTGCACCCAGATACTTGGTACCCCTGTTTCAGGGTCCAACCCCAAGGTCTGGTGATGTTTCCCCAGGGGGCAGAGCCTGGTCCTGTTTACCCCTCAGCTCTGGTTGAGACATGCCGACAGCACAGGCAGCAGGACCTCCTGGACAGCCTGTCCCCATCTTGTTTACCACCACGGATGGCTCACCACCGTGTGCATGACAGGTGCTGCTTCCCCAGACACCCGACCCCGGTGTCGGGATTTGGATCCGCGTGACCAGGGAGCGACTTATAAATAGCAGGACGAGGGGTGTCACAGCTGAGAGCAGTGAGAGGAGCGTGCTGACAAGCCAATGGATTTCCAAGCAGGCATCCTGCAGGATGGCAACCCCATGGAGAGCCTGGAGAAGCAGCTCATCTGTCCCATCTGCCTGGAGATGTTCAGCAAGCCAGTGGTGATCCTGCCCTGCCAGCACAACCTGTGCCGCAAGTGTGCCAACGATGTCTTCCAGGTGAGAAATTCCCTGTGCCCATGCCCTGCCCCTGCCTGGGCTGGAGGTTGCTGGGATGGTGGTGGTGCTGTGGAGATACTGATGGACCCACTGATGTTCATCTCCTCCTCACAGGCTGCCAACCCCTACTGGCAGAGCAGGGGCAGCTTGATTCCAGGGGGCAGGTTCCGGTGCCCGTCATGTCGCCACGAGGTGATGCTGGACCGTCACGGGGTCTATGGGTTGCAGAGGAACCTGCTGGTGGAGAACATCATCGACATCTACAAGCAGGAGTGCTCCAGGTGGGCACAAGATGCTGTGGGGGGAACATGAGGTTGTTCACCATCCCTGTGACCACAGCTGGGCAAGAAACTGAAGTCTTCCTGCTGTCTCTGTGGTCCCTCATTCAGATCTTCCTCCCCTAACTCAAATCTTCCTCCCCCAACCCAATTCTCCCCCCTGTCCAGAGCAGTTTATGGCTCAGAATGGCTCAGGAGGACGGTGGGTCCCTGGGGGAGGTGGCAGCAGAACAAGTCCTGCTCCCTTCCAAACACTCTAGCTGGAGTGTTCGGTGGGAGATAAGAGGTGTGGGGCACAAATCCAGACTCTGCTTGTGACAGCAAGGACTGAGGCTGATAAGGGACAGAGGGACAGTTTAGGGGGGCCCAGTTGGTACAAGAATGAAGCTGGAGGGAGACAGAGTGGTCACAGGCTCTCGAGGCAGAGCAGTGGCCCTGGCCAAATTCCCTGAATCGCTGTAAATATTGTCTGAGAGCCATGGGGACAGGGACGATGGCACGTGGCAGGTGTCCTCAGCTGCTGGGGGGGCTCGGGGGGCTCAGCCCCATCTGTGCCTCGGTGGGTTGGCTTGTCCTCACGTCCCTCCTTGCTGCAGAGGGGCTGATTTGACTGCAGCCCCTGTCTAGGACCCCCTGTGGGTTTCTGAGTGCTTCCCACCCCAGTCACGCGATGGGTGACAATAAATCCAGGCAGCACAAGGCTAAAATTAGGCACCTGTGCAGTGTCCCTGGATCATAGCCCAGAGCCCCCTGCCCCCAGTGCCAACCACTGCCATGCCCAGTGCAGCAGTGGTTGAAACTGGGGCTTATTGGGCTCAGGGTTTACAGAGATCAGTGGCTCCCAAAGGAGCAAGCTTGAGATTATGCCAGGATCTGACTCATTCCAGTGGACCTGATTTTGGGGTGTCTGTGCAGCATCAGTGGAGTGTCACCGTGGTGGGGGTGATGCTGCAGTGGGGACATCATCCCAGCAGGGATATCCCTGCAATGAGAACATCACCCCAATGGGGATATCACCATGACATGGATGTCACCGAGGCCATGCCACTCTCTCCAGCAGGCCACTGAAGAAGGGGGAGCACCCCATGTGCAAGGAGCACGAGGATGAGAGGATCAACATCTACTGTGTC